GGAAGGGATTTCACTTTTAGTATATTTTTCTTCATTAATTGATATTATTTCTCTTTTCACAGAAGTAGTGCACTAAATTATATATCATAGACTGAATTTGGTCATGGATTCCCTCCTTAGAATATAAGTCTAAATTTGGAATAGAATAGGCCAATTTAGTTCCCCAAGGAAAGTGGCCTGTAAACTTAACATCTTGTAATGACATTGTCAGCTATGGATAACATAATGCAGCTTTTCTCGCTCTTTCTAAAAATATTAATTTGTACATGTTTACAGTACATAATGAATATATTCACTGTAGGAAATCAGTACTTGTACTTAACACATCTTAATTCTTTTTTCCTCCCCCCTCCACTCCCTTTTTATTGTTCCAGCATCTGATTCATTTCTTTATTTTATAAATTCTTATATAGTTAATTATACACACTGACAAACAGACTAATAAGCCAAAAACCACATAAGACATATAAGGCAATTATACTAAATCAAGGAACACTTATTGATACACTATCCATGTTGGATTACTATAACTTTATTTCTCTCTCTTTTTTCCTCTTCATTGCCTTTTTTTTTTTACATGTTTAGTTTTTCATAGAAGAGAAACTATGCAATATTTATGGTTGCGTGTCAGACTTTCTTCACTTAACATTATGATCCCAATCTTCATCCATTTTCCTACAAATGACTCATGTTTATCCTTCTTTATGAGAGAGTACTACTCCATTGTGCATAAGTACATTTTCTTTAGCTTTCCTCTTAACATAAATTATTGTCCCATTTTTCATTTTCTCTGAAGGAGTTTAAATAAATCATTATTAGCATGCTTTTGAATTCATTGATATTTCACCACTGGTACATTTTTTCACTTTTGAAATCTCACAGTATTTATTTTCATTATATTTTATTAGTGCCTATTAATTTTACAAAATATTGAGTTTCCGCGTAGTGTTTTTCTTCGTGTGCATAATATATTTTGTCCCTGCCTTATCCTCTCTTACATCACATCCCACTTTCTCTTTTCTAATAACAGTCCCCCTTCCACTTTCATGCCATCTGTTTGGATTACACATATCAGAGAGAGTCTTCATGAGTCTGGCTTATTTCACTGAACATGAGGATTTCCAGTTTCATTATTTTCCTGAAAATGACAAATTGCATCTTTCTTTATGACTGAATACTTCAATGTGCATATATACTGTCTTCTTCATCTATACACCTACCAATGGCAACTTAGGCAGATTCAATATTTTGCCTATTATACATTGTGCAAAGTGAGCATATGCGGGAAGGTATCTCAGTAGAATGGAGAGTAATTCCTTCATGTATATACTATGATTAGTATAACTGGGTATATGGTAGATATGGTATTTTTTATTTTAATACTTAATACAAATAAAAGTTTTGGGATATATTAAACTAAGGTCTCATGTTTGTTAGTAGACAACATTTTGTCATCATACAACGTGACCAAGTGGGAATTCATCCCAGGGATGGAGGGATGGTTCAACATATGCAAATAAATCAATGTAATACACTATATCAATAGAGCCAGGGACAAAAAGCATATGATTATCTCCATAGATGCAGAAAAAGTATTTGACAAAATCCAACATGCATTTATGA